ATGATTCGATGATGTTTTTCAGTAAACAATTTTATAAGTTAATTAAAAACAAAATTTTTGGTCATGATTGTTGGGATGTTACACCATGGGTGAGGGTTAGGGTGTATGGATGTGAGGGTGGGTCATAAAGTGAGTGAATGGTAATTTATGGTGGGATGGTTATGTATGGATGGATGTGCGAAATGATTATATTTGTTTTGATTTGATAAATAGTAACTAAAATAAAATAAGTTGAAAGAACATTCTTTTAATAAAAAAATAAAAAATTAAGTCTAAAATATTTGTTCTTAACCAATGAATGACGAATTCATTAAAACATATAATTTAATAATCCTTTTTATAATTATAATTCTATTAATTTTGTTAATCAAACATAAGTTTTATTTGATTTATATGTGATAATGACATAAAAACCCTTAAGTTTGCAAGTTTTTGTTGTTTATACCATTTTGTGGATTTTAGGTTCATTAAAATCTGATGTTTGCAAAAATAAAAAATAAAAATAATTTTATTGAATTCCTTACATTTGGCATAAATGTTCAAATTTACCTTTTTTTTTTATAAAAACCCTTAAATTTGATTTTATGGTTCATTAAAACCCTTAAGTCTGACATAAATAGTTATTAAAATAAATAAGAATAGGCACGGCAGGGTAAGTAAGGTGGTAGGGATGAGCGTGGGACGGAACCGGTACCGACCCATCCCGTTCCCAATTTCCCGAATACAGAATTTGATCGAAAGTCAATCCCGAGTACCGAACCGAATTAACATAACGGGTACTGGTACTGGTTTTCGGTACTAGTATCGGTACTGGCGGTACCGATTCCCGAATTTCAGGTATTTGGAGTATCAAGTACCATCCCATATTTTTAAATTCGGTACGGTTTGGTATTGGTTCCGGTACGGTACCGGTACGGGATTGGGATTTGGGACAAATTGCTCATCCCTATAAGGTGGTAAGGTATGGTAGGATGAATATGTATGGTTTAATGTAGGGTTGTAAACGAACTGAACGTTCAACGAACAGTTCATGAACCGTTCGACGGAAAGTTCGTTTATTTAATAAATGAACAAACACGAATATAAATTCTCATTCGTTTAGTTAAACGAACGAACATGAAAAATGATCTCGTTTGTTCAATTATGTTCGTGAACGTTTGTTTATGTTGTTCATTTAAGTTCGTTTATGTTTGTTCATATAAGTTCATTTTATATTTATATATGTTTAATCGTGTTTGATTACATTACTATATTATATGTTCATTTATGTTCATATATGTTTTTTTTTATCTTTGTTCGTTTATGTTCGTTTAACTTGTTCACGAACATAAACGAACGAAATGAACAATGTAATTTGTTAAACGGACGAACATGAACAAGAAAACGCGTTCGTTTATCTATTCGTGTTCGTTCATTTGTTCGGCTAACTTAAATGAATAAACATGAACAAGCCCCCGTTCATGTTCGTTTGGTTCGTTTACAGCCCTAGTTTAATGCATGAAATGATTATATCTGCTTTGATCTGATAAATAGTGATTAAAATAAAATGGAGTTGAGAAAAATATTTTTTTAATAAAAAATACAAGAACTGAATATAAAATAGGGATAATGACTTGAAAGGGTAACAAACTTTCGACTTTTGTCACATTTGGTCACTAAACTTTTTTTCGTTATCTATTTGCCATTGAACTATTGAAACTGTTCACATTTTACCCTTATGACCGGCTGTTACCGGTCACAAGGGTAAAATGTGAACAGTTTCAATAGTTTAGTGGCAAATAAATAATGAAAAAAAGTTTAGTGACTAAATGTGAACAAAATCAAAAGTTCATTTCCCTCTAAAAAGTCCAATGACTAAATGTGAACAAACTTCTTATTGTATTATGTTTTAGCAAAATTATTTATTTTTGTTTAATTATAGCAACATTTGTTGATGAAGAAATCTATGAAATAAAAAAACAAAATGTAACATCCGGATTTCCATGTATCATCATTTAAGTATTTTTCTTTTGAGTTAAGAAGAGAGACTCGACGAGTTGACGCCTTAACTCGTCGAGATAAGGTCGCGACTGATTACTCGGATTAATGAATGGACTCGACGAGTCGGTGAGGCGACTCGACGAGTCCGCGCTGTTGGCAGAAACCCTAAATCTTTGGGCTCGAGCCATATTTAAAGGCACTTATGGCCTTCAATTGCGACTACATTTCCCATAAGTGAGAACCCTAGCGAGCTTGAGTGTGTAGAGTGAGAGGAAGAGCTATCTTGAGCTTTTTGGTGTGATAGATCTGGACCCTTCTAGGTTCAGAGAGCCGAGAATATGAAGCTTTAGTAGAGTAAACCTTGGGGTTCAAAGTTAGGAAGAATTTATGGTATATATAGTTGTTGGATTAGTGTCTAAGTCCATAACTATTTTGGTATGTACTTGACCCGATGGTGCATGGTTCTTTTAGGTTGCCTTCACCAAAGCAACTTGATTGGAGAAATAAATAGAGAGAGAGGTTATTATGATTTATTAATATGTTATAAGAATAATATATTAAAGGAGAAATCATATTTGTTTAATTAATATTGGTCAATAATTAATTAGGAATTAATTTTGTGATCAAGTGTAATTAATTAAACTAGAGGGGTTGAATTGTAGTTATGTGATAGTTACAAAATAAGGTAAGGATTATCCTAAGTATAGGATGGACGAATTTAAGGTGATAATGCCTTAGAATTCGATTATGATAAGGATTCAAGGATTATCTTATGGGTTGCTTGGTAAGCAAACAACTAGATAAGGATAATGACTGAAACCCTATCTGTACACCTATATAAACCCCCTTGGCTCATGAATTCGTGTAAGACCTTCCCTAAGGGTTCTAGGGACGAATTTGATACCTCCCCTCTCTCCTCATATCTTCTCCATTTTCTCTTGGTGTTTGTAAGCCATTAGAGGAGTGACAATTGTGACTCTAAGCCTTCCTAAGTCAATACAAGGAGATTTGGGATTGTTATTGCTACATAACAATCAAGGTAACATTATAAACCTATTCTTATGTTAATATGATCACTTGAATGCTAGAATTAGGGTTTATAGTCTTGGATAACTTGCATGTACAATAGAGAAACCTAGATCCAAGCATTAGGGTTTGTATGAGCACATAGGATGTCTTATGACCAAAACCCATCAATAGTTACTTTCATCTTACACATAGATATGAAGTATTTTATATAAATTACGTGCTATGTGTGCATATTATTTGAATACTTGCTGTCTATGCTGGATGAACGATTTTATACATGTTTTAAAAGATTTAAACGATATATTTATTTTATATCTACAAATATGTTGCGGATGAAACATGGGTAGATGAAATAGTTAGTGTGTGATGAAATAAAATGATGAGAGATAGGTGATGATAGAAAGGTGGTGATAATTATGTAAATAGATGATGATGAATATGTGATGTAGGATGAAAGGAGATACCATAACCTTAACCAGCAATGTGGCGATGTAGTCATCTACCAGAGTATAGATGGTGACCATGGACTATTCTAGACAACCCAGTGGAAACACTAGCAGACCCATAACCTGTAGGCGATGAATTACAAGTTCAGGCGATGTTGTAACTACGTATTCATGTGATGATACTCTAACCCCTTACTATGAATTACGAGTTCAAATGATGTTGTAACTACATATTCATGGGATGTCACAAATTTCGCATGCCAAACCAATGGTCATAATTCACATCAGTGAGAATGATTCATTTTTTTGTAAAACCAAAATCAGATTGGAAATTTTGATTTTTTTATTTTGGAAAATGTCAAACCATTGGTTTTTTTATTTCGGTTTTGGTTTTTTGTTTTTTTTTAAATATATTTTCAGGGTTTTGTTTTTTTGTTTTTTTTTATTTCATAGATTTCTTCATCAACAAATGTTGCAACAATTTAACAAAAATAAATAATTTGCTAAAACATAATACAAGAGGAGTTTTGTTCACATTTAGTCATTGAACTTTTTAGAGGGAAACGAACTTTCGATTTTGTTCATATTTAGTCACTAAATTTTTTTTCGTTATCTATTTGCCATTGAACTATTGAAACTGTTCACATTTTACCCTTATGACCGGCAATAGCCGGTCATAAGGGTAAAATGTGAACAGTTTCAATAGTTCAATGGCAAATAGATAACGAAAAAAAGTTTAGTGATTAAATGTGACAAAAGTCGAAAGTTCGTTACCCTTTCAAGTCATTATCCCTATAAAATATTTGTTCTTAGCCAAAGAATATCGAGTTCATTAAAACATATAATTCAATAATTCTTTTTATAATTATAATTTCATTAAGGTTGTTAACCAAATATAAGTTTTACTTATTCCCGCATGAAATAATTAGAAAACCATTAAGTTTGTAAGTTTTTATCAGTTTTTACATTTTAGTAGAATTTAGGTTCATTAAAACTTGATGTTTGCAATTTGTTTTTTTAATTTTATCATTTGCTTTCTTAAATTCCTTCATTCGATAAGAATGTTTGATTTTACATTCTTTCTAATTCATAAAAACTCTTAAGTTTGGTTTTCTAGTTTATTAAAACCATTAAGTTTGACATAAAATTTTAATTTTACCAAATAAATTTGTAAAAGAAAATAAAATTAAAAAAAAATATTACAAATTTGAGACATTAATAAACCTGAACCTAACATTCAACTTTACTTTAGGTAAAAGAGACAAAAACTTACAAATATAAGGGGTTTTTATGACATTTTGCCTGATTTACATTCCTATTCTGCCAAAAATAAAAATAAAAATAAATTATTCACCATTCTTTTACCAACATTCTCTACAATCTACATATTCACCCATTAAATGGTTAAAAAAGTCGAATTGTAGTAAATTTAATTTTTTTTTGATGAAATACAATTAGATGAATAATATGTATAATTTTAAAAAATAATTATCCAATTTAATTTTAATTATTCAATATGACATTAATCAGTTTATAAATACCCCTATGAAATACAACATAAGACCTGTTCTAGTAGATGTTGGAGGTTGCTCAATTTTTTCGATATTCACGATAAATTCAAGGGTATCTGGCCAACACCTCCGCCCATAAATACGTCGATTTCTCCAATCAACTCCGCAGCCTGCCAATTATCAACCTCACAAGTTTTCAAAGGTTCGGATCTCTCGAGTATTAAAATTAATCGACGGTTGAAGAAAACGACGTTCGATCGGCTGATTTTGGCGTTTGATTGAAGCAAATCGAGCGATTGTTTGATCTAATATCACCATGAATCGTTTGTCTTCGCCTACCACTTCAAGGATTTTCACGATTGTTTGATTTAAGAGATAGATAGATCGTCTTCTGCCATCGTTTACCAGCTCGAGGGTTCTCTTAACTGGATGTACTTGAAGATCGACGGAGGGTTTTTTGTTCAAATCAGAAGAAAAGAAGACGTTTTTAATTTGGGTTTTTGATCTGAAGGCAGCTCAAACATTGAACACAGGTACTGAAAGAACACATAAGTATTGTAATTTTCAGTGTTTTTAGGTTTATTTCCCAATGAAAGAAGAGGATTCGCGGTTGTCTGATCGATGCACATAAACATCTGATGGACCTCCAATGATTAGATCTAACACGTATCTTCGTCTCCGGATTTGTTTACCGAAGATGCGTCGCTTACTTGATGAGTCGATGAACTGGAGAACCTGTGCGTTACGATTTAAATATCCTGACATCGAAAGCAGCTAAAGGGGATTCCCGAAGGAACGCTTGTTTCTACATAGGGCACGGATCCACGAAGAACTACAAAAAACTTGTGATTTTGTCTCATATATGAACGTCGTTTTGACTTTGATTTACCTCCTTGATCTGATCTGCGACGTTTCACTACTTGTTCGTAGAAGAATCTGACCCATCGAATCGTGTTTTGAGGATCGGATTAAGAAAACTCCAACTCCTCTGGATTTTTTTTGCCAGTCTCCCAGATCTATAAAGAACTTAATGGATGGTTATAATCACACATAAAAAAAACCGTCCTCTATCTTCCATTAACGAAACATCATATTGACGTCAATTCTACTTCTTTGATTGGCGTGCACATATGGTTTCATCCCTAATCATATTTAAACCTTATCAAAACACCTCATTGGATATATTGCACATGAACAGATCTCTTAAGAACTGAATGAAGGATTTACTTTCTAACTTCTCTTCTGGAGTTCCGATAATGTTCTTGATGCATCATGATCCTCCAATAGCTTTAATAAATCTGGTCAAAATACTCTAGACACCATGATTAAAGCCGACGTAGTAATTTTACATATGTGGGTCCTTGATGTTGGGTAGATTGATTTGTTCTGAATAATATATTGTGACTTATAACAAGGTTGAATCTTGTTTAATAACAAGTCGTCTCCATGTAACAGAAGCTGATAGTGATACAAAACCAATGGACCTGGAACTTGTGAAGTTTATCAACTCAGATCTTACATGGAATGCTGTTAAAAAGGGCCATAGGAGCACGATGAGGCGCCCAAGGAAGCCAGCAGCAAGCAATTCAGCCAATAAAATGCAGGAATCTGTAGCTTTTGATTATGAAAAGGTATTATTTTATATTTCTTTACTTGTGTAGTGCATATATCTTTCTAAAGCAACATGATTTTTACTCTTGTTTGTGTTCTTTTTAGTCTGGTGTAGTCATTCTTGGTCAACACTTTGGTGAAGAAGTAGTTGATGTTCCTATAAAGAAAAGAATTCTTATGCTTCAGTCTCCATCTCTCAGCAATGAAAGGGCTAATAAGTCAATTCAACCTCATTCTCCCTCTCCTCATCATGAGAAAGAGATTCCTGATCTTAATGACTTCTTTGGTATAGAACTTCTTGCAGCTGCTGCATGCCATACCTCTGTTTATGACACCCCAGATCCCATGGAGTCTTCTGCAGTCGAAGAACACACAACAACACGAGTCGTTGATACATACACCGAAGGTGTAATTGTAAAAGACGATATTGCCCCTATCGACTCAGATGATTCATCAGTTCAAGATAACACATTCCCAGTTATCACAAATGGGGATGGTGATAAAACATCTGTTCCTTCAAAAGATGTTAGGTTGCATTGGGATTTGAACACTGTAATGGATGAATGGGAAGAACCCTGTTGTGATATTCTTGTTGACCCTCATTCTGAAAAAGGGTATCTAAAAGATGATGATTCTCAACAGGTGAAATCAGATGCAATAGATAATAAGTCTGAAGGTATCCAGGCTGTTTCTGAAGTAGTACAAGGTGGATCATGTCAAGATGACAAGGTTTCTTCAGAAGATCGTCTCAGTGATTGCTGTGGGTCAAACAAAGTCAAAGCAGGAGGAGGCTATGATTCTCCTGTTGAAGATGGTGAGTTAAGAGACACGTGGCAAAAGAATGAAGTGGAAGAAATCGAGTGTGTGGACTATGAGTCCGATAACATATATGAAGATAACTTTGATGCTATTGAATCAGTTAACAATGAAGTAGTCATTGGAACACAACCCAACAATGAAATCGAACAAAATGATAAGAAAAACATCCCAAGTATATCAAACCAGCTTCCAGAACCTTCTCAAGAAAAGGGTAGAACATCGTCTTTTGGTGTTCATAGAAGCAGGTAGGTAAACTTTATGTTCTTTACAAATAACAAAATCCAGTATTTTTCATAATTTTCCTCTCTTCTAATTTCTTTTTGGTTCTTGAATCCAGATCTGAAAACTTTCAAGAGTCTTATTCAAGGGGTAAGAGGGATTTTGGTCAAGAAAAGTCAACGGGAAGAGATGGAGCATCATACCATGGTTGGGATTCAAGAAACACTCAGAATCACAGGTACTCTAATAACAGGCCAAAACATGTGATTGGAGGTTACAATCAAAGATCAAGTTCTTACAAGACATTTAACACAAAACCAGAAAGAAACGAATCTTATGGTGTTTATAGTCGTGAGAGAGTTAAAGGTGGATTAGGGTTTCATCAACAAGGATCAAGAAGAGGTGAAGACTACAATGGTCATGATCAA